TAGGGATTTTTATTAGACTATATTAACATTTAACAGCTAGGTGAACATTATCATCGAATTAACATAAAATGACACAAGGAGACACTTTACATTTTCTGAAGGTGTTATTTATTGAAAAATTAACTGTTCAGGTAACATACCTCGCTGTCCAGCAGCTTGTCCATCCATCAGGTAATTTAGAAAGCAGTTTCCCAAACAGTTGCAGCTTGTCTCTTAAAGTCTCGGCTCAAATCCATGCAAATGCAATGAAGGCTTCATCCCGATTTATTATCTCTTACTTTCAGGTCAAAGCATTAATGGTAGCTCGCTAACTATAAAGGGAGTGGTTGCTTAATTTACAGGTGCAACACGATGTGTACCTCAGCAGGTGTGCACACACTGTGCAATTTGTTTTAGAGAAGTTGCACAAATTCTGCAATATCGATGTCAGGAGCGTTGTAATCTGTAATCAGTTGCTAAACTTCTGCGTGTGTTTTCCGTCCGCCATGTTTGTTTGTGAAATAAACCTCCACTTCTGGTATGGGGACCCCTATCGGTCACCCAGGAGAAAAAGACAATGTAACCTACGTCATTTTATTTATAATGAATACACATTACAACATCCAACAGTCATGAAAAATGATTTTGAAAATATATACAAATATATATAAATATTTGTTTAAATTATTGAGAGTATAGATGTAACACCTACGTCACTTCCGGGCGAAAATTACGGCCCCGCCCACTTTTGGGGGAAAACAACGCAGTCATTTGAATGGCGGTCAATACAAATTCTGAAGTTTTTGCCAATCCAATGAGAAATTTAAGAAAACCGTGGATTTTTGGATCTTCAAAGAGCCCGATTACGATGGGCAGTCAGGCAAACAATTACATTAAATCATTTGAAATTGACTATCGGGCTCGATATATGGTTAAATTAAAATCAGTAGTCGAGGCTGTAATTTCGCCAGCTGTTACTCTCATGAGCGAGGCAGAAAATAATTGTTTCATCATGCCAAAAAGCTTTGTTTTGCACCTCAAACATTAAAACAAATCCAGAGCTCAGTGTTTCTGTACTTCCTCTAAGAAAAAAGGACAGTAAAAGAAGAGCTCTGTGGCTTCAGGCTCGATCGCCATTCAAATGACAGCGTTGGTTTCCCCCAAAAGTGGGCGGGGCCGTAAAGTGACGTAGATGTTACTCTCATCTATGGACATCGATCGCCTACTGCTATATTTAACCATATATCGAGCCCGATCTTGGATTTCCAATGATGTAATTGTTTGCCCGTCTGGCCATTGTAATCGGGCTCTTTGAAGATCCAAAAATCCACGGTTTTCTTACATTTCTGATCGGATTGGCAAAAACTTCAGAATTTGTATTGACCGCCATTCAAATGACAGCTTTGTTTTCCCTCAAAAGTGGGCGGAGCCGTACTTTTTGCCCGGAAGTGACGCATTTAGAATAGCCTTGGCTTTACATATCCTTATTTTCATTATGCTGTCCCACCTGGCTACAAAGTAAAATCCACAACCAGAGTTTCCTAAACTTAAACAATTAAATGTATGATCTAAAGTGGATGAAAACCCACTCAGCCTGGTGTTGTAGCAGTGGGTGGCTTCAAATGCATTCCCTTGACGTTTTGGAGACGATTTCACCTGAGACAAAGTGCAACCTTCATTAATAAAAGATTCCTTACTGCCCAGAGCAACTCATTTAAAGTCCTCCTTCGACTTAACAGGGACACTCTATTCACGGGGAGATAAGAGGACTACCAGGGAAACTGGGATTTAGATTCTCACATTAGGGTTGTACTACAAATTTATTTCCAAAAAAAAGCATTACACCTACTCTAACAAATTGTGTTGTTGTCATTTTGAGTTAATGAATGTTGCATGAGTCTGTTTCTCTCAAACTTTCCTCAGAGTTGAAACTCCCCCCCCCCCCCCAACATATTTCTGCAGATATAATGCCGCTCTTTGTGATCAAGACCTCAGTCACACAAACACACACTAATACACTTGAAAGCCATGTTCTCTGGGTAGACATGATCCCTCCTCTAATTATTCAATAATCTAATGACACAATTGGTCATGGTGAGCAACACCACGCGCTGACACCAGATGGTGGCTTTTGCGAAGAAACCCCCCACACACCCTCTGTGCATTCTCATTTCAGTTCAAGTCAGAGAGAGGCTTTCTGCTTTGAAACTTGCCAAAGACGATTTGAGGAAGGCATTTCAAAAATTCTGTGTTAATTTTGGTATCAGATATAACCACCTTAATGATTGGAGCTTACAGAATTGCAGACAAAATGTATGAAAATAGTCTTATGTTGTCCACTGAGATCACCTAGAGTCATTTGTTTGAGATGTTGTGCTATCGATCATTATGAAGCAGCAGGTGCACTTCATGTCAACTCTCATTTTGGAGAGAAACTCGTCATCTGTAGATGTAAGGGCTGTTTTCGTAGGCCTTACAACATTCATTGACTGTAGCTTCGGGGACGCTGAGTGATGTGATGACCTTGATCTGAGGCAGGCTCCTCAGGGTTGCTCCAGGCAGAGGGGCAAAATGTCAGGAATGGTTTGTGCAAGATGCTGTGACTGCAGGAATGTGTGCGAGTGTTGTGAGTGTGCGTGGGTGTAAGTATGTGCATGCATGTGTGTGAGAAGAAAGGTACATATCACTAACGTGCTGCTTGCTAATGTCACCTCAGGATGGCCTCTGTTCATGCTGTATATTTAGTCATTTCTAAATTTAAATTTGGCACCTTTGAATAAGTGCCTGTAAATGGTAGGAGGCTTAAACTACAAAACCCATACTTCATAGTACATACTTATTTTACATAGTATGTACTAATATGTATTGCATATAGTTTTTTGCAGTTAGAGGTCAAGTAACAAAAGATACCTGGTTGTTGTACGTTTTGATAATAAATGCAGTTAGGGTGACAGAAATAACACTTACTAAGAGTAAAAGACACAATATGCCTTTTAGTCACTGGACTAAACTTTTAAATAAAGCATAAAACATGTTATCAAAACCTTGAACTATAAAACATGCTTTGATTTTGTGTTCATTCACTTACTTTGGTTATTTGGCTGTCCTTGGATATACTGTATATTTCACTTTAAGCTATTTCCACAACAGGCTCATCACAATATGATCCATCATTCCATCAAAGGACATAAACGCAGATACAAAATAAAATCTAAAGCACTAAGACATGCTTGATCATCAGCATTAATTGGATAGTGAGGGAGGATAGGAAACTTTGTTGCCATAAAAATCAAAATAAATAATTGCTAGGTGAAACTCCGGGAGAATGCATTCTCTATCTGTTTGATCATAAATCCTGAAATAATGACATGCTTACCCATAAATGACTAAACAAGGGGCCATTAAGGCATGCATGACTTCTCCTGATGTCTGTGCAGCAGATGTTAATAATTTTTTCCATAATGGAGAAGGAGAGAGGGAAGGAGGAAGCTGCTCTGTTTGATCATATCAAAGAAAATGTCAAATAAGGGTCAGCAATGTAAACACATGTGAAAGTGAACCTGAAGGTGGTAAGGGAAGAGAAAACATGAATCTATAAATGTTATCTGTGTTGTTTATCAAGTTAAATTAAACCGCAGTAGTGCTTTCTATAGAATGTGAGACTATACAGTATACATGATTTTACAGTGGTGGAATGTAACTAATTACATTTACCTCGTTTAAGTACTGTACTTCAGTACAAAGTTCAGGTACTTGTACTTCACGTGAGTATTTTCATGCTATCCTAATTTATACCCATTACTTTCAAAATTTGAGGCATTTATCTTTATTTTTACTCCACTACATGTATTTTATATCTTTATTTACTAACTACTTTGCAGATGTACAGTAGATTAATAATACTTTTTCTGCAATGAGTACCTTTACTCGTAATACTTCAAGCACATTTTCATACTTTAACTTAAGTACCATTCTCGAGGCAGTATACTTTTACTTGAAATTCAGTATTTGTACGGTGTCGTATTAGTACTTTTAAGTTAAGAATCTGAATCTATTTTATGATGTTTATTTTAATTCAAGTTGACAAAACATCGTGTTGACAGTCAGACGTGACAAAAGGTGCCTTAACAGCTCAAAGCAGACGTAGATCTTATCACTCCGCAGAGTGTATCTGATCATCTCCCGTGTTCTCTTCGGTTTTCTGGCTTCTCCTTGTTGTTTTCTGATCTTAATGGGAGATATTTTCACGTTCTGGTCCAATGTGACGATGCAGCTGATCAGCCCTAAATGTGAGCTCCTTATCGTAAAGAGATTGGTTTCGCCAGCAGTGAGAAGAAGATTATCAGTCTATTAGATTCATTCTGGCATATGGCACCGATCACATTAATGCTGATCTTGATTCACCCTGCCTAAAACATATTATTTCTTAAGGCTTCAGTGTGATCTTATCATCCAGACTGTCAGATAACAGCCTATCTGCTCACAAAAAATATCTGTCTCCTCTTTTGTAATCAGACTTTGTCTTTTCCATTGTCTGAATTAATCACTTTGTCATTATTTGTTTGTTGTCATTAACAAAGTGTCGTGTTTCAAATTGTATAGATTGATAGAGGAAGTAAAAACACTTTGGAAATTTAGTGTACAAGTTTTTATGTAGTTTTTTTATTCTGGGGCATCTACACTTAATACAGGAATGACTTCAAACATCATTGCTGCTATATTAATCAGTGCAATATTGTCGCCTTGAATGTTATGCTTTGTTTATATTGCTTTTCATTCTGACATTTTACGATTGCTGTTGTAATTAGAGCAGGTAGGTTATTGGAGCATGTTATGAGACTTGCTGCTTTATCACCTGATATAAATCCAGAATATTTATCCTGCATCTGTGATGAACAACAGTAGTTTTTATTGACAAAGAAAAAATAAACTTGCTAAAACCTGCTTTTTGGGCCATGGAGGTTATAAAACACCAACAAATGACTTTAACCTTTAACTTTATTTTGTAAAAGGAACACATGTTGAACTTTAAAATGCTGTATAGACAGCCTAAATATCATATGAAATGTTTTTCCATCAAACATTTCTCAGAATTTCGGCAACTGATATCCACTGAGCAGTTGCATTTAAGAGATTCAAGGAAGAATTCAGCAACCTTGAAACTTCTCCTGGACTCTGTTCAAATGACAGGCGAGACAATTTCACACGTCTTAACGGTCCAACCAAATGCGCTTTGATTTCCTTCTGTTCAGCAGCTTTGTCTGGTCTTTTCAAACTCTGCCAAGGAAATAAAAAAAGCAAGTAAAAAGAAAAAAACATCATAAAATTATTAATGACTTTGATTCATTAGCTTGGAATAATAGAGAAAAATACATTTAGCTACAGCCTTGATTTTTTAAGTGCATCATTCACTCTATGAGTATTTATTTCGGTAAATGCTTTTATCAGCTTTGACTCGCACCCTTGCCTTTCACCTTTAAAAAACAAAATAACTTTCAAATTGAATGATTCATAAAAAAAAGTTACCTTTAGATTTAAAGCTGTACTAAACTAGCAGTTTGAATGTATTTATATCTTCTTTACACTTTGATTTGATAAAGTAAAATACAGCCTTTCTCATTAATTGGCACCTTTTGACTTTTCAGTATCAAACTGAAGTGCTGTGTATCCATAAAACGTTTTATGTGTCTCTGCCTATCAGCTTTAACCACTTTATGGCTAGGGGTTACACAAAGAGGAGGCTCACCTGTCCTACTGTATGGTAAATGTGTTTTAAAAGGTTTGCAACACAGAAACAAGTTCTTAGTTGTTACAGAACACATTATTTTCACTAAGCAGCAGCTAGTTTAAATGTTGCGTGTCTCTGACGAAGCTAGCATTGGCCGGCTAATGTACAAATATGGTAAGGCAGTGAATAGAAATGTGTTTGAGAGATAAATAGACAGATTATTCACCATATGACGGCGTCATCTAATTTCTATGCAGATTTGACTACAGTATATTGTCCACATTGCTGGCTCAAGTACTGACAATATATTATGTTATATTAGAATATCAGTGGGAAAAATGGCAAAACTGACCAACTTAGCTTCTCCCAAAAACTCCCAACAACATTAACACAATCTCTTAAACAGAAACATTATTTCTAACCTTTGCAACCTTAATTATAAAAGATAATTGCAGATAAATGGCTATGCATTCCACATAACAAATGCTCACATGTTTATTGTAAAAATTACAGATATTTATATTTATATTTCGAATGAAAGTAATTTCAAAACACACTGGAATCAGGATGCTCGAACACATTTTATACTATAAATATAACACTCTGTTTGCCCAACTCACTGCTGTAGCAAACAACATTTATTTTAAGTAACTAAGCTGTGACTCTTCAGAGTACATAAGTTCTGTAGCATCTGCAGTGACTTCAGCGACCTTGAGAACCTCCCGAGAACCTCAGGAAGTTCTTCCCACAGAGATTTGGCTGCACTGCTGCTGGATATCAGACTGTGTATTAGACACTGATCTGTTTAATTACAGCCTGAGTCGCACACCATCTGTAAGAGCACCTCATCGCCTCTCTGCGCTATCCAAACGACTTAAAGAATCCAGAGATATTGTACTCCAAGGACATGCCTAATTGAGTTCTGAGCACAAAGTGCACTGCAGCATTCTTTGACTTCAGCGATTTGAGCTTGGCCTAGGAGGCAGTTTCGAGTGCTTTGTGGTGATATGAATTGATCGGAAATTGCTTGCGATCGTCAATTACATGCCAAACAAGGGTTTGGAACAAAGCACGATTACAGATTTGCTTAACTCCTCGGTAGAAATTCGACTTGTGCGACAGAGTGGGCCAGAGCGAAGAAGGTAAAAATAACCACAAACATGTAACAATATTGTTTCAGGAGGCATGAAAACAGACGTTTAGCAAATGGATTTGGAGGGAGTGGGATGAGGCGGGAGAGCTAAATTTGTCTTGTTCATTTGTGACGGACTTGGCGTGAAGCAGTGACTTGAGCTTGGATAAAGAAAAGACACTTGCAGCAGAATTCTGCCAGTCTTTGGTTCTCCGTATCCGGCACCCCCCGCCACTGCCACAACCACCACCACCGCTACTCCATCACACACACCCACACAACCCCCTTACCTTCCAACACACTGCCGAACCTGGTGCTCCACACTCACCCATTAATCCCTGCATGTCGGATCCCAGCCAGGTAATTACCGTTTAAAAATATTTCATCCCATTCTTTCCCCCCAAAAAGAGACAAATGGAAACAAAGGGAACACAGTTCTGAACAACGACAAAGAGGTGCTTTAAATGCATTCTCTTTTCTCTGGTGGAATCGGTGGCTTTGTTTGCACACAGTACAAGGTGTCTGAAACCAAATCTGCAGCTATTTCATATTTAAATGCAGCTGTCACGCTCTAGTTTTTACACCCGGTTTGGAAAGTTGGTAATGCTGCTTCCCTCCGAGAGAAAAAAAGCTTCCTGGTGCAATAAAACCTGTTTGTTGGGTCACTTCCAGGCAACTTCCTTACTGAATAAATGAATTTAAATGAATGTTAGTAGCTGCTATGTAAATACTTTTTTATTGTATTAAGTCACATTTCAGACTAATTTGAAAACTTCACTGTGAACATCTCCATGACCTCGGCCTGTCACAACTACTGAGTCCTCATGCAAGCAATAATATGACTGTTTGTTGAAGATAAGTGGAGCTGACATGGGATAATATCATAACAGACTGTGGGAAGGTCCATTTCATATGATCTGATGAGGGTAATCAACAGCATGTGACCTGTCATGTAACACTACATGCCTCCAATTCCGGTCTTTTTAGATTATTTGTTCAAAGCAAATGCCACGAGAAATACATGAACACAAGGCAAGATATCTCAATTACATGTATTAGTTGATAATCTTTCACAAAAGGTCAAATCAATTCATAATGAAGACATGGAAAGAAAAACGTTGTTGTTGTTTAGAGATTCACATATTTAAAGATTCAGATGGCAAAAGTTTTTGTGTGAATACAATTTTAACAATTAAACAAAATACTAAGCCTACTTCTACTGTTAAGCCTTCCATTCTCACATAATGATGCCGTTAACATTTATTTACCGTTACATTTAGTTTCCACTCCCCCTTAAAGGTAGGGTAGGTAATTCACTTCAGAAACACTTTTTGTTATATTCCATGGAATGCTCTTAACATCCCGATAGCAATGAATACATGACATGCTTTGACAATAAATACATAAAAAAATGTCATCTGTGGAAGCCGTGGCGCTGTAAAAAGCACGACCAATTATTTTAGCCGGCCCGACTAAAATAACTGGATGGCCTACCTGCCTGTCAGCCTTCATCTCGTGCACAAACTTATCTCGTGCCCTCATTGGTCATGTGCACGTTCAAGTGTGTTGGAGGAGGGGCTCTGAAAGGAAGTCTGAAGGAAGGGGCAGATTTTTTTCAGCTGCGTAGTTTCAAATTCTCGCGCACTCGAGCTGGTTTCTCCATTCTTACCTACCCTACCTTTAACTAAGGCGCAAAGCCTTGTGGTGAAGGCAGCTAGACAGTTGTGTTTTATGCTTGACTGTCCTTCTTGCCTGTGTCGCTTGAAAATACGTCGCGCAAAAGTTGAATACATTTGAAATTAGAGCACAGCACTGGGTAGCAATACTGAGCGGTGCACCGTGCCAAGGATATAGCTACCATAGGAAAAAAAATGGCATAGCCAACACTGAGCGGACTTACCGTTGATCATGTTAAGGGCAGTTTAGTCCTTTTTAAAACAATTGGTTTTTGGTTAAACGAAATAAAGACAAAACATGCAGACTTAAAATGTCTTGCTGGCAACTGTCGATATTAGAGGCTGAAAGGAAAATTGTTGCTAGCTGAGTTTATTAGCTTTCACTAACATTAGCTAGTTGAAATGTTGTCTTCTGCCTTTTAATATTTTCAGCAATAGTTACTAATGTAGTTTAGTTTACTTCAAGTTGCTCATATGTCTTTTTAGCAAAAGAACCCCAAACGTGGAGAGAGATTACTTTTCAACATCTCCCATTGACGTGTGTTACTGTTGGAGCCGCCGTCACAAGGAAAACCAGATCTTGTTTTGTTTTGCTCAATAAAGAGTTTGATCAAAAGTTTCCGCTTTCAGTTCTGAGTTTAAACTAAATTTGTATCCATTGCCATTTCTATTTGGAGTAAGGCTTGGACATACAGTTTTTACAGTATGTCAGTAGTGCCACACTGTAGGTTTTAATGACACGGTGAAACCGCATGTTTATTCTATCATTTAGTACATTTTGTGAAACTGCCTTTAGGTGTACCGAAAGCATTACCAAATAAATGTGTATTGACAATATTTTCAACAGAGGTCTTTTCTGAGATCATAACATTGTATTCTCACTTGACTTTTGCTTTCCAGGTTAATGAGTTTGTATCTTCATGGTTGAATGTAATTATTTTACATTGCTTTGGATAAAAGTGTAATATAAATGTAATGCAATGAACTGGAAACATGTCAAAATCCAGGACAATTGTAGATTTGTTTATAAGTTTGAAAGAGCATAATTCTCTCTGTGTTGATTTATATTCCAGCTCAGTATAGCAACACAGCAACACATCTACCATTTCTCTCATTTTCCCTTTGTTTTTTATATTCACACCTGTCCGCCACACATCACAGTTCTCAAGTTAATAAAGTGCAAAGTGTAAACTGCAATATGTGAACTTGATGTTTTAATAACGTGCGAGGTGACTGTGGCTTATTCCTTATTCTTTCACACTAAATAGTAAAATGCTCATGTTGTGACATTTTGTCCCTAAGAATAGAGAAAAGAGGTGGGGGGCGATGAATCAATACGCTGGCAGTGGCAGGAGATGTAGTTAATATGCGGCTGGGTGGGTGTAGTGAAGGATGGGGGGCATCAAATCCACCCTTCTGTCATCGTATGAACTTGCAAACACGACAGCATGTTAATCTGTGTTTCACTTGGCACGGCTCGTTTGTCTCTTCAGGTTCGGATGAGAGATAAATATGATCTTCTTTGTGTCATGGTGGTGGGAAAATTGCATCTACATTACATTATGAGAATCTTAGTCAAAAATACTACGATTTCGGCAAAACCACTGGATAACGGTACAATACAAATCTAATCAAAAGGGTTACCTAACTCTAAAAGATACACAGGACTGGAAACATGTCACTCTTAAATAAATAGCTAAGACTAACACTAGAGAAAACAACCTGATCTAAGTTATAAAGT